CAGGACAGGTGAGGAGCAGCAGCTCCACAGGACAGGTGAGGAGCAGCAGCTCCACAGGACAGCAGGTATTTTACTGTATAAATTATTGAGTCAAACATGACAACTATCAACAGCCAGGTCCATGTGGTGGACTGTAAACACCTGAGTGGGTTTTAAATGAAATAAGAAGTGTTTTAACTGCAGACTATAAGCTTTAAATGATATTTACATCCAAATTATTTGAACAGTGGATGAATTACTACAGTTTGTAAAATGTCTTCCTCCCATCCAGTGTTCAAATGCCACAAACTTCAAGTTTAATTTAATTCATACTTTTATAGTTTGGTTATAAAGTTTCCAGCCTTCTTACTTAAAAAAAAGATTATCCAAACAATTTTAATGTTTACCACATTATATTTAGATGCTTCCAGTGATTGAAGAGAGGTGCTTTTATTTAATTATTTACTTATTTAAATAAAAACAAAATAACTATTCTTTTCATACAGAGCTCCTAAAATATTCATTAACACGTCATATGTTCTGTTTACATCATCAACATACACATCCTTCCAGTTTTGTTTTTATTTATTCCCATCATGAAGCATTTTCTTTGTCTCTGTGCAGAAGTCTTACAGCAGAATGTCTGGGAGGAGAAGGACTTCAGTTCAGACCAGGACCAAGCAGAACCTCCACAGATTAAAGAGGAAGASGAGGAGAGTCCTATCCAACAGGATGAAGAGCAGGAGACTGAGGACAGAAACTACTGGGACCAGATCCAGTCTCAGCAGTCCTCTGAAGCTGACCAGGAAGGARGCAGAGATGAAGACCTGAAACTAAACAAGGGAAGTCCACAGACCAGGGGTCCCAGAGGTCCCAGTGGTCCCAATGAGCATGTAGACAGTCCAGAACCTGACAGAACTCACCCAGGTCACAGTCTGCTCTCTTATGAGAGACATCAGATCACAGGTGAGAAGCCTTTCTCCTGTCAGAGCTGCGGGAAATGTTTTAGTCAAAAACATAATCTAACCAGACACGTGAGAACTCACAGCGGTGAGAAGCCCTTCTTGTGTCAGACGTGTGGGAAAGGTTTTAACCAAAATTTTATTTTAGCCTGTCACATGAGGACTCACACGGGTGAGAAACCATACTCCTGTGAAATATGTGGGAAATGTTTCTCCTACAGGACTCAGATCACTGATCACATGAGGACTCACACAGGTGAGAAGCCTTTCACTTGTGAGACGTGTGGAAAGTGTTTTAGTCAGAAACGTAACTTAGTCAGTCACATGAGGACTCACACCGGGGAGAAACCTTTCTCCTGTCAGACCTGCGGGAAACGTTTTGGTAAAAACAGCAATTTAATCACACATGTAAGAACTCACACAGGTGAGAAACCCTTCCCCTGTCAGACCTGTGGGAAAGCTTTTAACAAAAAAATTAGTCTGGTCAGACACCTGAGGACTCACACAGGTGAGATGGGGTGACCGTTTGATTCTTTGTCGAGTCCGTCGTCAAACTTTTCCTTCTGCTTTTGTCTGAGAAATAAAACAAGATCCAAACTGTTGCTGTCTGCTGATTAAAGTAACATTTGGATAAATAAAAATCAGTTTACTCAGACCTTTATTACTGTAATGTGTTTAAGATCAAAAAGAAAATATAATTAGTCCTCTGGATGGTTCTTCTTTAATGAAACGTTGAAACGTTTCACTAAAAAAAGAACCATCCAGAGAACTATTTATATTTTCTTTTTGATTTTTTTCTACCTGGATTACTGAGATGCATCAGGAAAAAATGCATTTAAGTCACAGAGTAAAATGTTATAAATGTGTGCATTTACACAAATATAATTAAAGTTACAGACTTATAATTCATCATTTCTTTGTGTGTATTTTTATTAAATTTGTGTGTGTATTTTAATTATAACTACAGCTCAAAGTTACAACTTCTCAACTCTGCCACTAGGAGTGCTCAACTCTCTTCCTGCGCGTTAACACTTTTGAGACAAATATCCCACATGGGTACGTCTCAAAACTCATTTGTAGCTGTAGAAGTGGGGGAAAGGGGAGGGGGAGCGTTACATTCTGAAAATATTTGTGTAATTTTTTTTTTTTTTTTGCAGGTGAAATTTTTTAATACAAATCTTTTCTGCAGGTACACAAATATAAATTTTGCAGGTGAATTTTATTCACAGGTACACAAGTCATATTTTTACAAGTTACAAATCAAAAAATTTCAGGTGGATTTTGAGACAACTATCTTCATAAGGTACACGTCCGAAGAGGTTGACATGTAAGACAAGATGAAGTTTGAGTTTTATTTTATTTACGTAAACCACTTTGAGATGTGTTTTTGATTACATTTATACTTAATATTTATTGACACGAGAAAGGAAAGTTGTGTTTTTTGGTTGTTTTTGTGTCTCGTTACAACAAACTGAATCAGTTTGAAATAAAACTCATCCTGAACAGATACAATAAATGAAAAAAAAAAACGGAAGAATGTTTATTTAATGTTTTCAGTGAGTAAATGCAATTTATAACGATTTAYAACAAGACAAATGATTAATAGTTATAGAAGCAGAATGTGGTTAAGTCTGGTGAGTTTAGTGGCATCACTGCAACACAAGACAGAAAAGACAAAAAGAAAAACCAAACATCACTAAATCTGAAATGATAAATGACTGCATGTCTTCAAAGCTGCAGGTAAAACAGGTGAGATTCTGAACAGAGTTATGAAGTCATCTCTGATTTAAAGAACCCAGGTTTCTACAGATGAAAGCTTTGGAGTGAATTACAGCTGGCCTTGATTCACCTGCTCACGAACCTCTAGATTCTCCAGGAACTCTCTGATTTCTCTGCACATCCTGTTCCTGCCTCGGTCCCGGATCTTCTCCAGAGCCTTGATGCTGTTCTGTCTCCTGAAGGACTGGTGGTCTATGGCTGCAGCCTTCATGTKGTACTCGACAGACTTGTTCCTCTCCTGGCGCTCGAAGCACAAGTATTTAGCGTAGCTGTTGTAGACCATCTGTTTGTCTCGGGGGTCCTGAACCTGCCCCAGCAGCTGCTTGTAGATCTGATCTGACCTCGTCAGACCCTGACCAGACTTGGCCAGGATGTTTGCCAGGTCCAGTTTCTTGGCCAGAGAAGACTGAGGGTAGAGAGCGATGACCTCCTCATGCAGGCCGATCGCTCGCTTCATCATCTCTGGAGGTGGACGCCCGTCTCTGGAGAAGATGATTTTCCATTTGTAGCAGAGGGCGGTGCACTTCTTCAGGTACTGTGAGTCAGGATGCTCCTGCAGGGCCCTTTCTGCCAGATCAATGGCCTCATCATAAGCATCCATCTGTCTGTAGACCCTCAGCAGGGCTTTCAGGCCGCTGTAGCTGCTGACAGGGTTCAGTAGGATTCTTTCTGCCAGCTCCTCTGCTTCATCTCGGACCTGCTCTCCTCTCTTGGCGCTTTGCTTCAGCTCGACGGCGGCGAGGTACAGGTTCTCCGGATCCTCCTGCCGGGCGACCCTCATGTCCTCCCAGATCTCATCGTCCAGATCCACGTCGCTGTGCTTGTAGGCGCTCACCAACGCCAGCACACGGCTGGTCTGCCACTGCACCGCGCCCGGCTCCATCCTGATGGCTTTCTGGAAGTATTCTGCAGCCTGCAGCTTCTTCTCCGGGTCGAACTTCATCAGGGTCCAGGCCTTCTCAGCGCAGACCTCCGGGTGGAGCTCTCCTTCGATTGGACACGGGWATTTCTCCAACAGGGCGTCGACCTTTGACAGGAAATCCTGACTCCTCTCATCTTCCCCYGTACGATGGTGCAGCCATGCCAGATTAGCGTAGTTCACCTCCAACCAGGGACCCTCGTGGGTGGACTTCAGCTGCTGGAAGGCTTCAGTGGCCCTGCTGAAGAAAGCCCGGGCCTCTTCCATGGAGCCCAGCTGGTACTGGATGAAGCCCTGCAGGTTGTAGATGTGACCCAGCCAGATGTTTCCCTCCTCGGTGCCAATGTCCTCCAGGTTATCTTTTATGCGGTGTAGTCTGGACTCAGTGGGACTCAGATCCCAGGTGAAGTGGCACTGCAGGGCCTCCAGTCTGGAGACCAGATTCTCAGCAGCACTGATGGAAAAAATCATTAAGAAATTAAAGATGTTGATACAATCTGCTGTGAAGAGGATTAAAAATACAGAAAGGATGGMAAGTTTGGACACGAAAGTCTTCAAAACTTTAGAAAATAAGTATCTATTAATGCTGCAACACTCCATGTATCTGTATGGAACCATTCAATACACACCATGTATGGATCAATACACCCCATGTATGGATCAATACACACCATGTATGGATCAATACACCCTGTATGGATCAATACACCATGTATGGATCAATACACACCATGTATGGATCAATACACCATGTATGGATCA